GAATGGCCAACCAGTCATCTGTGCCTGTACATCAACTGTCACGTGGAGTGGAACCAGCTCCACCACTGCCATCATGTGACCTCAGAGAGATGGTGGATGGTCATATGTGGTGAAGAAGTATCAATTAAAAAAAAAAAAAAAAAGGATTCAAGATCAGAATCAACTTTATTGGCCAAGCACATACAAGAAATTGACTCTGGTAAACGTTGCCCTCCATTGTACAAACATGAAACATGAAATGTTACAAACATCACAAAGCATGCACAAGCTCGAACTAGACATTCAAGTTCTATATACAAGACAGTAGTGCGATGATGGTGAGTGCAGTGGAGTGAAGAGTAATTGAAAAAAAAGATATATGTCCTTATATTACAGGTGGGTTAAGGACATGAGGTAAATACACATTATGTTTTACATACAGTATTAACATTAAATTAAATGTTAAATAAAATAGTCCAGAGGTATGTGTCTGAGAGAGATAAACTGTTCAAACAGTCATTTACAGTCACAGCGGTCTTTCTGCAGCTCTGTGAACATTAGGACTTCATCAGACCAAAAGGGGAAGAAACGGTCTTTGTGTCAGCTGGTTTTGACAGCGATCTGAAACTCCTACCTGAGGAGGAGGACGAGTCTCAACAGTTTGTGTCCTGGGTGTGAGGGGTCTGCAGCGCTGTTGCCTGTCGGATTGTGTCCCAGTGATTTTCTCTGATCTTCCATTGCAGTGGGAGTGGGAGTGCCCCTTCAGGTCCCTGTAGATTGTGAATCCCAGGAACCGGAATGGGTCCACAGTAGACACCATGCTGTTGAGGATGGAAGTCCATTGTCATTTCCACAGTCTTGAGCGGGTTCAGCTTTAGGTGGTTCTGACTGCACCAGAGGACCAGCTGATACACCTTCGTCTGTATGCAGGGTCATCACTGTTCAGGAATCTGACCGATGACTGAGGTCTGATGATCTACAAACTTCAGGAATCTGACTGACAGTTCCCTGTTTGCATAATAGGCAAACTCCAGGGGGTCGAGCTGGTGGCCTGTGATGTCCTTCAGGTCTCTCATAGGTTTTCATGACCACAGTTGTCAGGGTAACGGGCCTGTAGTCATTCAACCCTGTAATAGAGGGTTTCTTGGGGACCAGGGCGATGATGGAGTGTTTGAAACAGAGGGGGGCTTAAAGATCTGAGTGTAGATGGGGGCCAGCTGGTCAATGCAGACTCTCAGGCAGGAGGTGGACACACCATCAGGTCCAGGAGCCATCCTGATCTTCTGCTCCTGAAAGAGCTTATACACCTCCTCTTCACGGATCTTTAGGGCTGGTGGGGGTTTGTTGGGGGTCGTTGAGTGGCTTGAAGGGTAGAAGCTCTTCAGGGCCTTGGCCGGTCTATTGTTATGGTGGGGGGATGGTCTCCTGTAGTTGGTGATGTCCTCTCCACACTGTTTCAAGGACATTTGCTGTAAAGCTGTTTTTCAGCTCTTCTTTGGTACCCTGATCTCTTTGTCAGTGTGTTTCAGGCCTGCTTACACAGGACCTGATCCCCACTTCTGTAGGCCTCCTCCTTATGCTGATGCAACTACCACAACTTAAGTGTCGACAGTCTATTGTTGTTATATCTGCAGAAAGTCTTGGTCTGCACACTCATGTCCTCACAAAAGCTAATGTAGGAGGTCACAGTGTCAGTGATCACTGTCCAGCTGTTTTATGCTGGGCTTACGCCAAATGATTTTCACAGTCCCAGACTAAAAACTGACAGTCACCAGTAAATCTAGGAGTTTTACTGGAGTCACACCCGTCATCTCGATCGTTACATTTAAGGTGGTAATCTGCGCTGTTTCATATCAGTATTTTCCTAGTCTTGGGTTTGCGAAGATATCATATTGTCGCAAGTCGCAGTGACGTAACACAACCATCAACCAATAGATGAGCTCTGACAAAAGTGGAAAAGGAAACCTGACAGTCAAAACAAGAAGAACAAGAATGTATGAAGAATTACTAGTGATAAAAAAAAAGCAGGTAGTGGAGCTGTGGGCAGATCAGCCTTGCCTATTAGACATCAACTGCAGTATCGATGTTGATGCAAGTCGCCACACCTCAAAAATAAAGTATTTTTACGCCCTACCTCAGACTCGGTATGTATCAGTATGTGCGACACACATGGGGCGCGCATGCGGAGTATTAGCATTTGCGAGCTGTGAGTTGTCAATTGCGAACACACAGCTGATTAATGAGCCCTCCCCACTGAACTGCCAAAAATTGCTCAAAGAAGTTGAAGTCTTGTAAATAGTGACCCTGGAAGATTCTCAGTCTGAGACTAGGCTGTGACTAAAAAAAAACTTGTCTATAGATGTGAGCAGGTGTGAGCTGATAGTTTTCCAGGAGTCTTCTCGAAGTCTTCTTGTGTATAGGTGGCATTAGAGTTTTCACCAATGCAGAGAGCAGCTGCTGGAAATGTCTGGGTTGAATTTTCCCTTTTTTGTTCGCATCAAAGTGATTATCTGTTCAAGGTTTCTTTTAATTGGATTACGAATGGCGTGTTTCACCTTCCAGCTACATTATTGGAGACCGCAGCCTGTCAGGTGGAGCTGAAGCTGTTTCTTTATTTTCTCAATGTTGAACTTTTCTCCCGTCCATTTTTATGTACCAGTCTCTGTAGTATTCTAGCACACTTGAACGTCCAAGGTTTATTTTTCAAACTCGGCCTTGAAGAGGGAGAGAAATGAAAATCCCTGCTTTTTGTCTAGAAGAGGCTTTGATATTACTTATTTTTTTATAAGTACACCTGAAGCAGAGACAAACTTGACATACCTGCCGTCTATACTCTAAGACCTAAACCTCCAAAGAGACTAGCAAACACTCCTTTAATGAACCTTAACACTGATTTTATTTCCCATACTGGAAACGGTGGTATGTAAACTTTCCAAACACCATGTTCGCAAAACATCAGCGTGACACCGTGTCTCAAAAACATCTCTGCTTTGTATTTCCCCAGACACAGCTGAGAGACAAACATACTGCTGCATTGTTAGTGTTAGTTGTGTTTTTCTTTTCAATAAAGCTATAGAAATAAATAATAATATTTAAAAAAATAACTTCTGCAGGCTATTTGGGACACAGACTTCATAACAAAACAACAATAACATGACCCAAGACTATGGCCATTGTGGTCACATTTGCTCCCAAAATATAATCTTTGTGACCTTGAAATACAACAGGAAGCATTTGAGTGAGTGTGAATAACTTCTTTTGATTTCCACTTCTCCATGAAATGTTTGCCAATTTAGAGACCACATATTGGCAAAAATTCAATCAAAATCAGCCAAGACCAATGTGCGCTTCTTGGCAGACATTACCAATCAACTGACGTTCCTCTCAATCCAAGGTTTGCATAACCGATCAAACTTTAATGTGAGTGAAATTGGGTAAAACTTTGGTGATTTGCTCATAAATTTGCAACAAACCAAACTAAATTTTACTTCTTTGTGCCAAACCAGATCAGATTACTCTTTATTTTTATGAGCTATCCTTGAATCAGATCATCGCCATCAGGATTTGTCTTGTTAAGGAGAAATCGACACCTTGAAACTTCAGTAATGAGTGTAAAACTTTGAAGATAAGGCCTGTTACGCTCATTTTCACCTTCATAGACTTAAGTGTTTATACTCACTTGAACAGGATTTTCTTGGCTTTTAAACTTATTGTGTCTGTGATTCTACAATAGCATGAGATTATTAATTTAGTTTATGAAATGTAAGAGGTCGAGGATCAGGGCACAGAGAATTTAAGTTCAGCTAAAAAAACAAAATGAACCTTAATGGTTAATTAATAATCTGCGTTGACAATCTACAAACAAATTTATCTCAAACTTGAATTTTTGGCACCTTTGCGTATTTTAAGGTAAGTTAAGGTACACTTTATTTATCCTGCATGGGGAAAACCATTTCACCACCAGGACAAGAAGACTCATACAGACAACAAACAGCATGAAGACATCAGAAAAACATGAACTCAACACCAGATACACAACAAACACAGTAAAGGCCGATGAAACATGATTAAAAGTGGTACAATAAACGATAAGGACATGATTAATTACAACAAAATCCTGATAAAAATGAAGAAACACTAAAATAAATACCTCTACAAACTACGCAGCAGTGCCAGGTCAGACCCGAGCATATACTGTTAAAAAATCTCACTGCTGCTGGAACGAAGACTTTCTCAGTCGTTCAGTGGCATCACAAATCGCTCACTAAAAGAGCTTTCGAGACCTTTAAGACATAGTGCAATGGATGATCTTTGTAGCCCAGGGTTAACTTAATTAATTATTTTGTTTTGTATCAACTGTTTGTCCACTGGAAATACAGTTAATGGGTGTTACTTTTTACACAGCTGTGTGGCCAGCAGTTACTGGAAGTAAAAACTCAGGATGCAAAATGGACTTTCCAGCTTCTTGGTGGGCGTGTCCTTCAGCTTTGCCATAATAAGGTGACAGAAAACACGATATTTATGGACATGGACGTTGTAGTAGTCACTCTGCAGAAAGAAATGTTGCTGCTGTGATCCAACAGAAGTCAGAGGACTGTAACTTCTTCTTGTGTACTACACTAAAGCCATATATTTCTGTTGCTGATACAGTATAATAAATTATTTATCTGCCCACTGGGGTGTTTGTGGTAGATGTACTTGGAGCCTAATGTCACACTGTTCTCTGCCATTATGGTAAAAGATGATAAATGAGGGTATTAAGCTGCAGTGTGGAGCCATTTTAATCCCACTAAAGGAAGGAAAAATATAATTTCACGGACAATAGGCTATAGAATGTAGATTGCTCAGAATAATCCTGTTAATTGGCAATTAATGCATTTTTAAATGGCACCTTTGAAAGCCTGTGTGCTGGATGATTTGAGCATGAAGGATACGCAGAGAATTGCGCTTGTGTGAGGATGTCAAAAGCATTTCTGTGTGATGGTTTGTGATGTGATCAGCAGCTCTGGAAGTTTGGGTCTTCAATGAGCGATAAGGACTTTCTCTGAGTGACACCGCCTCTCCTCTGGTGCCTCCCTGCTGCCCCGCTCGCTCGCTCGCTCGCTCGGGTAAAAAAGCGCATGTGTGCTGTTGCTGTGATGTGAGTTGAGCCGCATCCAGACGCACTGGCCGCCGCTGGCTGATGCTGCCCTCCTCTCCACCTCCCTCCTCTCTCTCTCGCTCTCTCTCTCTCCTCTCTTCTCATCTCCTCTTGGTGGTGTTGTGCGCAAAATCTCCAGCGCCGGACGGACGGACGCAGTTTGACGGCACAGACGCGCGGCTCTGCGGGGGGAAATATCCAAGAAAAAGAGGGACATCCAAAACAGACATGGATATCTAACGGGCGTTTGAGTTAATTTTTTTGTGCCTCTTTGTTTTTTTTCTTCCCCGTGATGTTGCTTTTGCCCCGGGGGTGTTAATGTAACCTGCTCGATGTCTCTCATCAGTTTATAACCGAAACAAAATGAGGATTTCTTCTCGCGACTGGTTTCTGTTTATGTTCTCGGGCTTTTGGGGACTGACAATGGGTGCTTTCCCGAGCAGCGTTCAGATCGGTAAGTGTGAGCCCCTCAATGTTAATCCCGAGCACAGAATGAATCATGTGGAGGAGTCTGTGGACGTCCTGCATGCTGCCATTTAACACCTCAGCACAACTCCAAGTGGAGATTTCTTCCGCAGTCTTTTTTTTCCCTCCCTCTCTCTTTTCTTCTTCTTCACATGCACACCGTGATGTTGCCTCTGTTGACGCCGTGCATGTTGAACACACACACCTAATGCGCTTTGTATCTGCAGGCTAGAGTGTGTATCCCAGTGCACTCCGCCACTGCAGCAGATCAGAACAGCAAAGTGTGTGTGTGTGTGTATGTGTGTGTATTCCCTATGCAGGCTGCCTGTGCATTGACTGCTGTTAACACTCGCAGACCCCCGGTCCTCGCGCTGTGCCACAGTCCCACAGGCCCCACAGCTTCCCTCGTTTTACCCCCACTTGGACCCTTTTTCTAAACAAACACGTGCATTTTTTTATCCTCCAATAACTTAAGAGTGTTTATCCCGAGAGGGAGTAAAACATGATGGATTCATTGGTTTCATTTCACGAGCAGAGAGAGACTGACTCGGCTGATTTAAAGGCAGGGAATGAAAAGAAGGGCAAACTGTGACCTCCAGTTGTTCATCATTGCAACCCTCCCAAATAGATAATCAATTAACAGAAATACACATCATCATGTTACCTCATCACATCTTTAAATCAGGTGTTTTATCCCCTCTTTCCAGAATCAAACACACTTTTTTCTGATGCTTCCTCACCCCTCATCTCATTTCATCTGCCCGCTTTGCAAAGGATCCCAGGCACATCAAAACTGCTGAGGCTGATAACAAATGACAAGCTGTTCAAATAATTCTCCTTGTCCTTTATATCAATGTGATACTCGAATCCCCGGCCCCTCCAGGATGTTGGGAGGTCAGGGGTCAGGGTCTGTTACAGAACAGCACCCCTGCAACCGGGGACACTTGATCTGTGTGGTGGGGGGTTTAACCTGCACATGAGCCGTCATGCTACAGTAATACATGCTGCTTGACTATTCCTTTTTTTCCTGTAAATCACTGTATGAAGTCTTTTTCATACCTGTGTCGTCAGACCAATATCTAACCCCTGAAAGTGTAACAATCCAGTGCTAGTCTTCCCTCTGCATTTAACACTGTGTATAGTTTGTAGCATCCACCACATCACATCCCATCAAATCAGCTCTCCGAGTGCAAACATCCCTCTTTTCAACACTCATCAGTTTCAAATGATTTCCAGTGAAAAATCAACACTTATTAGTGGAGGGAAATTTGCTGTGTACACATGCAAGCAATGCAGAAATGTGTGCATAAACACAAGCACGGCGAACATGATGTTGTAAATAAACTCTGACATCAGAGAAAGACACAGACAGATGCAGGGAGTTATAGATCCCAGTGTGATTCATGCTTTTCTGTGCTCCAGAGTCTTTCTCAAAGTGTCTCAGGGCTTTAGCAAGTCCCAGCTGCATCATGCTGAGGGCAGAGGGGGCAGCCTCGACATGAAATCAATCCGTCACCAAAGCAAGGAGGGAATAGGGTTAGAAAAAAAAAGTATGAAAATGACCAGGATTCTTTGAATTCACAAATCAAACAGATTCAATTTACCTTCCGAGCGACTATATGTTCCTGTTCTTTTCAAGGGATTTACAAACCGCCGTGTAAAGGTCTCAGTGAGGATTCAAAGGTACGCTCCTAAGGATCTTGAGGCTTGTGTCACTTTCCAAGACGATCCTTTCATCATCTGAGCAGCCGGGCTGTGTGTGGATGTGACTCTTCTTAAGACTGCATGTCTTCAGAGGTTATTCAGCGAGGTCAAGCCGGTGTTGCCGGATTCTTTCACATTATCAGATCAGAGCCTGGTTTTAAACATGAATGCATGTGTGTCCATGAAACCTTATATTCCCAGTTTCATAAGAGTTGGGATGCTGGGATGCTCATTTTGAATCTGATTCGTTTTGAAAGGGTATCACTAATGCTTCACACCACTTTATTTTTCCAACAGTTTCTGGAGTTTTGGAAGTTGAATGTTATTCCTATTTTGCCTGATTTATGATTTCATCGGTTTAAGAGTTCAGGTGTCCTTTGTTGATTTTGTATTTGTGTCATGGTGTCCCAAATGTTTTTGTTGGGCCAGTTTAGCACCTGGACTCTTCTACTACAGAGACATGCTATTGTAATACATACTGTACAAAATGTCATTTGGCATCCTTCTGCTGCCTCATGAAAGGCCCTGGAGGAGGCATTGTCTGGATGGCAGCATGTGCTGCTCCCAAACCGATGTATAGCTCATTAGCATTAATGGTGCCTTCCCAGATGTGTGGGCTCTCACGCATCCCCACACCATCATGGATGCTGGCTTTTGAATGGAGCGTTGATATTAAGCTGAATGGTTCTTCCTGCGTTTGTGGCTGCAGCGACCAACTGCGTTTATAAAAAGTGTTTTTTGGATGTAATTTTGAGCCCATGCAGTGATTTCCACTGCAGAGGCATGTCTGTTTTTAATGCAGTGGCTCTGAAGGGTCTGAATATCAGGACCAATCTAATATTGGTTTGGGGACCCTGTCCCTTTTGGACAGAAATTTCTCCAGATTCTCTGTCTCTTTTAATGATATCATGTATTGAAGATGATGAAATCCTCAAATTGTCTTCAGTCTTACTTTCAAGAACATCACTCAGGAATTGCTGAACTATTTTCTCTTGCGGTCTCTCACAGAGTGGTTAACCTATTTGCGTTTTTACTTCTGGAAGACACTACATCTCTGGAGATCCTGCAGATCATTAACTGATTATTCTGGATTTGGTATTTCTAGCATTAGACACATTTTTAGTATTTTGTTGTCCCAACTGTTTTGAAATCTTGTGCTGGCATCAAATTTTCACATATTCATTTGCTGAGTTTGTTCTATTTTCTATTGAATTAAGGCTTTGAATGATTTGCAAGCCATCAAATTTGGCCTTTATCAGCATTTAACACAGCGCCAAAACTCTGAGGGAATCTCTTCCATAACTGCAATCAGCCTTTTCTTGACCACCTCCAGCTCAAAAATGTTCCCCCTACCTCACTGATCCCTGCTGTCTTGAGCTTCTTATCAAAAACATCTGTGTCTTCTCCAGCAGAAAAATAAACAGCCTCTTTGCTGCATCATTTCTTCCCAGTGCCTGCTAACACAGAGGACTTTCAAAAGACTTTTACAACAATGAGGTCTCCAAAGTCTCCTCTTACATCTAAAGACAGAGACAAATTTACAAAGACAGGGGATCCTGCAGGGGCACCATTTGCAAGACTACTCCTAGATTACTTTTGAGGATATTTTCCCTCCTGCTCTTGGTGGACTTTCACAAAAAGAGCAGCTCAGAAGCAGAAGCATGAACACTTCATGTTCAGAGCTTTTCCTTTTGTTCTGAGCAGGAGCCCGAAAGAAGAAGAGGAAGCAGGAAAAACTCTGGACCCGTTGGGGTTCGTGCACTTTGTCTGAATGAACCACCTTTAACCCCACACGCTGCTCCCTGTCTAGACCTGCTGAGAAACTCCCGCTGACTAAAACCTTCGGGTTGTATTAAACATCTTGGATTATGTTGTAATGCCGACATGAGAAAGACTGACTTAGACAGCTTAGAGTAAGTCCAAAACAACAAAAATAACAAGAACTGCAGAACTCTCGTTGTATCCCACTATTATAAATATGACCGTAATATTAAGATGCCTGAAATCAAACATCTTGAGAGGCTGCAACATACCACAAGAATCAAGACATGGTAGTGCCAATCTAGCATCTCCGTTAGCTCTGATTACCTCCTTTGGCCAGTGCTAGTTTGCTGCAGTGTTCTGGGGCAGCAGGGTGAGGGCAGAGTGACATCAGCGGACTCATACTGACCCACAAGGCCACGCTGCAGGGGTGGAGCTGGACTCTGTAGCAGCGGCGGCAGAGAGGGGGTTGCTGTCAAAGTTCCATGTCATCTTGGTCAACATCCACCACCAACCACTCCCTAACTCACTGGTTTAACTCACTGGCTTGACTCAGGGGCGTATTCAGTACTAGATTCATTTCAACAAACTGCACCACACAACACCACAGGAAGTCATTCTCGCCCGTGGCCATCAAACTGTGTAACTCCTCTCTCTGAATGACACACACACTGCCTGGCACTGGACTTGTTTTTCCCTCAAGCTATAATATTCTCCCTTATATAAAATTCATTTCAACTGTGCAATCTGATTTTAAACCAGTCAACAACTTGCTCCATAACCCTAAAGAGTGCAATACTGATAACAAACTGGAAAACAGCATCTTTTATCCGAGCTACTTTGCAACACTCTGTGCATTATCTCTACGGTTCAGTGTTGCAGACTAGCCTTGATATGAGTCACGTGTTTTCAGTTCTCTGTGGTTTTTATACATAGCTTCGTCTCTAAACATCATGCGCTTTTGTTCTTAAATTTTGTCTCATTTCATCACAGCTTCAATCCCACTGGAGATGGCATACTGTACAATGTCAAAAAAACAGAATTTGGTGGTTTATGTATCATTAAATTTTCTGTCTTTGATTGAAATAGAGTAAAGCTTTTGAGATCACCAAATTTTTATTTTTAATGGTTGGTTGAAACACACAGCTCAAAAGCCAGTTTCTTTGTTGCACAAGCGCCCGTAGCACGGGTACCCACTGAGCAATAGACGGCTATTAGACATCCATTTTTTTCCCCCTAATTTAAACCGTCTAGATTCTGTATATTTTTAGGTTGAATTTAGACATT